GACAGATCAGGAGACCCTCCTACTCCTTGAAGCTTTGGAACTTTTCAAGGAAAATTGGAATGAGATTGCTGAGCATGTCGCTACTAAAACTAAAGCTCAGTGTATTTTGCATTTTGTCCAAATGCCAATTGAAGATACATTCTTGGATAGTTGCGATGAAGGTGACATTCCTTCTAAAGGAAATTCAGATGCAGTTCCAATTAATGATGATACTTCAGCTCCAAAAGATGGTCCTGAAACAGCTGAGAGCAAGGTCAAGGCAAAAGACGACGACCCTTCATCTTCTCCGATGGAAAGTTCAAAGCCTGAAGACACTGATGGATCAACAGTCTGTGAAGTTGGTGAGAATTTTGCTGTGAAAGCACTAACTGAAGCATTTGAAATTGTTAATTCTCTCCCTTCGCCGGGTGAACGGCTTTCTTTTGCTGAAGCCGGTAATCCTGTGATGACACTGGTATGTGGGTTTTGTTTCCTTATGTGGCCCAAATTACTCGCTTAGTCTCTCTCTGTTGAAGTGAATTGAGATTGGCTTAATTATGTAATTAATTCAACTGTTACATCATCTTGAGGTTTTCCAGTTAGCAATGCAAGATTTTGCTCGTAAGCTTATATTTTCCTTAAATTTTCTTCTAAAACCTGGAAAGAGATAAGCTGAATTTTGGAAAATAAACACTTGTTTAGAGACAGTCACATCATTCCATACTTAAAAATGTGCAGATTAGCACTAATTACTTTTAGACAAATGAAGACAGTAATTAAATTTTTGTCTTGTTTCTAACTTTGTTCAAAATTTGGCTTTCTCATATTAGGTTGCATTCCTAGTAAGACTATTGGAACCTAATGTTGCCACCGCCTCTGCACGTAGCTCTTTAAAATCCATTTCTGGCAACTGTACTGGTGATCAGCTGGCAATGAGACACTGTTTCCGCTTGGAAGATCCACCTGATGAAAAAAACTCTGTTCTTTCTGAAAGGTTGGTGAGCTTGTTTACGAACTAAATTAATAATTTAAGCATTGGTCCTAATTGTGACATAAGATATGCAGACCTGCTGAAATGGTTGAGCAAGAAACTCCTAGAAGTGATGAGCAATACCCTGAAAAGCGTGAAGAGAACTTGAGCCCAGTTGTTGATGGTGCCCATTTATCAACTGAGGAGGACAACAAGAGTAAGAAGGATTCTCTTGTGGAAGAAGAGAGACCACTGGCTTCTCCAAGTCTTGCATGTGTAGATGAACCTGCATCTGCCAAGGAAACTAATGAAACAACAACTAATGAGGAATCAGAACCTACACATGTCATTGAATCAGATAAACCAGATGTCCCGAAGGAACAGGAGCCAGCGAATGCTGAGAAATCAGATGATTTAGCAATGGAAGTGGAAGTTCCTCCTGGTTTTGAGAAGGAGCCAGATGATGCAGCCCCACTGGGGGAACCTTCTGAATCAGCGGATGTTTCAAAGGATATGGACTTGGAAATGAAAGATCGTGTGGAACTAACTGCCTCAAATTTGGTGGCAGAGAATGAAGCAAATAAAGGTGTGCTAGAAGAAAATTTTGTTGAACTAGACTGCTTCTAATGAGGGTCTTTCTTGTAGGTAGATGAACATGCTTAAAACAGCCTTTGGATGTCAATAGGAATTAATTTGCAAAAAAAGTCAGATAACATTGAGGAGAATGGGAGGGTCTAGTGATTAAAGCTGTTAAGTACACTATGCTCCATGTATGTTCTGCAATTTGATAAAAACATTGACAGATTCAAATTCATGACCTATTGTGTGATTTTATAGGGGAATAAAATATAAACATCCACCATTTGCCCCTCTTTAAGGATTTGCTACTACTTAGAACTCTTATTATACTTGACAAAGTTGGTAGTATTTTTCTTAGATTTTGCTGCTTGCTGATGCAGAAGCTAAAGATATCATTGATGAGGAGAAATGTGCTTTGGAGATGAAAAATGATCTTGCCACTGATAAGATAAAACGAGCTGCGGTTACTGCTCTATCAGCTGCTGCAGTGAAGGCAAAGCTTCTAGCTAAGCAAGAAGAACAACAAATTCAACGACTTGCTGCACTCTTAATTGAAAAGCAGGTACAGTTATTACCAACCAAAGCTTCATCATGAGGCTTCAATTACTTAAACCAATTAGTGAAAGCTAAGTGCTCTTGTTGATTGGTGGTTTGTTAGGTGGACCTTTATTTATTAATGTATTTTTAAGCTACTAAGCAAGACACCTGGGGATAAAACAATGCAAGTTTTATTGCTTTAAAGAATCCCTGTTTTGTAGTTGCACTAGTTGGACCTTTATTTATTGGGGATAAAACAATGCAAGTTTAGCTGGTTCGCTTGTCATTCTTTAGCTGTTAAAAACAGTTTCATTCTCTTTTCCGTATTGAAAATGTGTCTAAACGTCATTGAGAAACATAGCATATGCTTCTCAAGTTGTCTGATAAGATTATTTGACTTTCAACTAGTTATTTTCCCGTGTCATGTGTTGGACTGATGAAAAGTGAGAATTAGCAAAAGAAGAGTTTTAGAATTTATTATAGATTGTAAGTTATGTTTGGTGTGAAATATCTATCAATTGACTTCTCTAAATCTGTCTAGGGCCTGAACCTCTTACGCTGCTTAGTGATTGAATGGCTAATAATGGGCTAGCTAGCTTGGCCAATTTATTAGAGTTTCCCATTATTTAAAGTTTTATTGCTTTATAGAATACCTGTTTTGTAGTTGCACAAGTTGGAAACCAAGTTGGCTTTTTTCAATGATATGGAGAATGTTGTAATGAGAGTTCGGGAGCAGTTGGAAAGGTCAAAGCAGAGGCTTTTTCACGAGCGGGCGCAAATAATAGCAACTCGACTTGGGAAGCCAGGTTCTCGGACAATGTCACAACAATTGCCTGTCAACAGAGTGGCAATGGCTTTTGCAAACTCTGCACCGAGGCCCATTATTGGTATGATCTCTCCAAGGCCACCGGTTTCTAAACCCATAATAGCATCAAATCCAGCGTCAAGTTCATTTCTACCTGCAACTATTGCAGGAAGTTCAGTGCAGCCGTCCAATCAGGACCAACCTTCTTCAGTTGTCACTAAGTAGCTTCTGGTGACATGCACATGGATCGTCTCATTCTTGCTGGTCCTGACTGTGGCCCACCATTTAACAAGTATGTACAATACTTACTTTTGTGGTAGTGAATGTTAAAAATAAAGTAGGAGATTCTGATTCCAAAAAAATAGAATAAAATAGAAAAGAAAGACAAAGAAATTGATTAACCTTTAAGATTCTACTTGTGGATAAACCGGCAGATTTTTTTCTTTACTTGACCTTTGCTCATCATGAAAATGAGCCATCTAGTTAAAAATTTTTAGAGTTTCTGGTTTCCTTGTCTTGGTAATTTTGCCCCTCATTGTGTTGGTTCCTTTCTTTTCTTCCCTGCTAAGCGGATGATGAGTTGTGTTCAGAACTTTTAGAGTCATTTTTCTTTGTTCTCTAGATTAAATTTCTTAAAGCCTGTGGTGAAGCAAACGTTGTGGTGTTTCTTTGCTCTTGAATGTTTTATGATCTAAAGTTGTGTCCACTCAACCTGAATGAGAGGACTTCGGTATGAGAAAATTAGGTTGGCATTTATGGCACCAGAAGATAAAGCAATACCAAAATAGGGAAACTCTTTTTCCTCTGTCTGACAGTCGAAAAAGTTCATTGATGATTCTTGCCCTTGGTTACCATCTATACATTCAGCAGATGCATCTTCAGGACGCAGTTACTCTAGTTTTTTGTTCCTTTTATTTTTTGGGTGGATTTGCTGTGCGTTTTGAATGCAGTATAACATCGTCCCTGCTATGCATACATTAGTATCAATCTCTGATTTCTCTTGTATTATTGCTGTGTGTTGAGAACGTGATCCATATATTAATCAGGTGTGCCAGCATGTTTTGTTCGGCTATATAATTGGAAGATCACCGAGACCATTAAAAGCATCTATATGCTTCTTCGAATGGATTGGAGGCTGGATCCAGATTGAATTGGCTCATAATTTGTTTGCATCCCCGTGGAAGAACTTATTATGAAGCCTCTAGATGGATGTAGAAATTTTCTCACTAAAGCATCTTAGGTTAGATGAATTGTTAAAATATACAGCATGCAGTTTCTAAGAGAATTGGTGATTGTGGTCCTTTTTTTTTTTTAACCTCCAATTGATAGGCATAGGATTTAAACCCTGAGTCCTCTCCTAACCACTGAGTTAGCCCTGAGTTATTGTGGTATTTAGTGTTAACCAACTTTGAATTTGTGAAGCTTTTGTCTCCCCTCCCCCCCCCCCCCTCCTCTTCCTCCTCCTCCTCCTCTTCACCGTTGACTGTAGCATGTCGTCCATATAAATTTTCCTGAGTTAAACTGTTTCGGCTGCTGCTGGGTTTTTGTTCATGCAAGCACCGTCATCCGTCTGATTAAAACAGTCGGCATGCGGATGAGAGCTAACAGGATGCAACTACTTCAGCCATTGACATTAAAATACGTTTCAAAGTGTTGACATAAAAAGAGCACCTGTAAACAGCACTGGAGCGCTTTATGTGGGCTTCGAATCATAAGCCTCCGCCAACAGAACCTGGAGTACTTTTATACTCTTGGCAGGGGTTGGAAGAATGGGACTGCAGGCGAAATTAATTACACCTTAAAAGGTTAAAGAGCCTCGATAATGTAAGATTATTGACCGTAAATTTGTTTTCAAGTTCAAAGTTTGGCTACGCATGCACTCGATCATGACAATGCAGCCTACTACTATTACCTAAAATATGTTATACAGTGGAACGGATACCAGTTGACCTCAAAACATCACCCGAAACCCCAATTCCCACCCAAACACAGTCCAAAGAAGGCCAAGCGCACGATTGCACCCATACCAAGCCGCCCAACGCCCGAGTGAAGTTTACTGCTTGTTGGATAAACAACTATTCTAGCAAGGTCTCAAGAAAAATAAAAATTCTAACTGTTAAAACCAGTACATGGCACAAGTAAGCAGAGGATTGCTGTCTGGCATTGTCGGAAAGGAAAACATCCTGTTCACTATTGACAGAAGAGAGCATGGAATACTAGGAAGCTTTATGAAAACAGGCAATAGATACAGAGGAGGATAAACTTCTGAAAGTCAACAAACATCTAGAGACCATCAGCTTTTCTCACGCAAACATCAATGTACAAGTTTGGCCTCATAAATCAAATAAATAAAATGAAGATGAGCCAGATGGTGGAGTGCTTTGGAGGATTTGTTCTGTAATCAGACTCAAGACCATGTTACTCAATTTAACACTCGCACCCAGATGACCTCTGCTGGCTGCTGCTTGCAACATCAATAGTGTCAGGCAAGTATCTTCATGACGTTCAATGCCCCACAAGATAAAAGCAACGACATTTTATCAGTACATTCTCAGCATATTCTAAAAACCGAATAGAGCATACCAAGTAGATAAAATAAGAAAATTGTATCAAAAGCACCAGGAACCTTTATAGTCTTATATTCTGACTTCCGAGTTAATTTGAAATAGCAAAAGGCCATGTTTACAGTGCTCCAAAGATTATTAATCAAATTGTATTTTGCAAGCTCAAGATAATCATGATTGAACTTGAGTAAGTTTCATATTGTCTAACAATGAATGGAGTATTTCTCAAAGCTATCAACTTGCAAAAGAAATATCCATTTCTTGAATTCATGCAGACCTAGGGACAAAAGGTAGGTAAGAAATGGGCCGGCCATATGCAGCTAACATGTGAGTGTTTTCACGTGGAACCAGGAAATTTAATAAACTTATAAGACAAACATTAGTTGGTGTCCTGATTTATGTGCCAATTCCTCCGACTACCTGAGTTTGATGTCAATTTGTCTAGAACACATATAACATGGTTTATCTCTTTAAAGAATTTCTTTCCCTAGTAACTAATTACTGGAGAATAATGATTCAGACTTACATTTCTTCTTCTTCTCCACTTTTTAAGGCATTTTTGGCAATGCATTGAAAAGCTTCTTCCACATTTGTGCCATCCTTTGCAGAAGTCTCAAAGTATGGAATGTTTCCCTTAGAGGCACACCATGCTCGGGCCTTTTTCTCAGACACCTGTTGTTTCCACATAAAATTTAAACTTTTAGACACTAAAAGTATTTTAACTTTTAGGATGAACTATTTACTGGTACAACCATTTATCAGTGCGTCAGAGTTTAAAATTATGCAAATCATATTTAAAACTTACCACTCTACTATTTCCACCATCCACATCAATCTTGTTTCCCAGCACAACAAATGGAAAATTATCTGGATCTGAAGGACTGGCCTGCAGTATATTATTATATGATTCAAAGAAATTCAGTTTTCCAATATAATCAAGCACTCTAAAATCTCACTGATGCTGGACCTTTGCTCATAACTCATGCCAAATTACCTGTATGAGGAACTCTTCCCTCCAATTATTTAGATTATCAAAAGACTTCATCACATTCGCATCGTAAACAAGGACACAGCAATCCGCACCACGATAGAAAGCAACACCAAGGCTCTGAAACCTTTCCTGCCCTGCTGTATCCCAAATCTATGTAACACATGAACCACAATCTTAAGCCTTCGCACTAGAAGTTACATACCAGATATGTAGTAACATTTTAGAATGAAAAGAAGCTCAACCATGGGTAATATTATGCACGAGAACTAGTGATGCCACTAAATTGGAAAGAAATAAACAACATCCATGAGACAAACACAACCCTTGTGTCTTTACTAGAAAAATATATTTATTTACAACCCTTATGTTCATTGATTACAGCTTTGCTGAACAAAAGTTTTCTTCCTTGTTCCTACAAGAAACACCTTACTGCCAGAGGATATCTAAGACAATTAAGTGCACCAAACAGCTAAAGGTATATCTCAGACATTCATATTCCCAAATTGGATTGTTTATACGACAAAATAGTTCTGGGTGGGATGGAGTTACCGCTGAATGACTGTTATACTGATTCCATTAGAATTCCTCTCAACTCCCTTAACTTGCTTTTTCTGAAGAATGTGATTTTGACAATAAGTCCTAAAACCTATCCTTGATCTAATTCATAGCAATTACTCAAAGAGAACGAAAACACTATTAAACAATTTTTTCACCAAAAAAATCCGAGCATTATCACATAGGATATTACACACAAACATCTATATTTGTATCAAATATTTTCTAAATTATTCTCCTAAATTCTGACTATGCCGTAGGCAAGGCTGGAACCAGTGAAATCTGGGAGGGAAAAATAGGAAATCAGAAAACAGCATTTCAGCTTAGTGAATTCCTATGTTACTGCTCCACTAAGCCTCTATTGATGCTCCTTAGTGAACCAAGTAATAAACAATTGCAATGACACAGACCTGCAAAGTGAAGAGCCTGTCTTCAAACTGCACTTCTTTTGTCAAGAAATCAGCTCCAATAGTTGCCTTGTATTGATTGCTGAACTTCTTGTTTACATACCTAAAATCATCGATTCAAGGCAACCAAACTGACAAAAAGACAAACAAGCAAGCAGCCAGCAAATGCAAAACCCCGGAATGAAATTTCAATCTTCTATGTTTGCAGTCCGCAAAACAGACCACCAACAATAAATGTAAGATACTAAAATAACCACACTATGGAGGATACTGATTCATCAATGAGGTCTTCCCCACCCTGCAATTCAAAAAAACAGAACCCAAAAAAAAAAAATCACCAAAGACAAAAGCCATAACTTTCTCCCTATGCTGAACTCAGATCATTATAGCAGAAAACGATGTCATGGCATATCAAAACCTATACAACAGACGAATTATGGAAATATCAAAATTGGGCTGTCACAGAACTCCAGAATTGAAGATCGATGCTCTGCAGTATGCTTCCATAAAATCATAGATAAACCCCACCACTCCTACACGTATATGATCTAAATATATGTTCGTGTATATAGATGTATGTACGCGAGAGGGAGGTTGAGTGAGAGACTAACCCGCTGTCACCGAGGATGATGACCTTCAAAAGCGTTCTTCTGCGGGAAGGCATTTTGGCAAAATCAAGAGGTCCGGATTTGATGACCCGAACCCGGATCTGCAAACTACTACTACTTATCTGCCGGAAAAGAAGAATGTTTTGAGAGGGAGAGCGACAAGAGGCGAGAAGTTAGCGATGGGCGTCTGTCGCCACCGTCGTCATTGATTTCTGATTTTCTTTATTACTATAGTAGCTGGAGTAGTATTATGTTTTTCTTTTCCGTGGTTGCGTAGGGCAAGCGGAGGCGACGACGTTTCTAGAGGATGAGCGTTTCGGGTTATGCTGCATTCGCCACCTTCAATATCTATTTTATTATCTGCACATTTATTTTGCATATTCATCTATTATTTTTATGAATCCAGGCTTTTTCCTTTAAAAAGGTTTTGACACTCCTATTGTCATTTTAATCATCTAATTTTTATTTATTAGACTATATGATAAAACATTAATACTCTCATTATCATTTTAATTAAATAATTTTATTTATTATGCTATATGATAAAAATAAATAATGGAAGCGTAAATAGAGTATTTCTCAAAGTTTTTGTTTGTTATTGCTAACATATTTTTACGTGTTTACTTTTTTTTTGAATTAATCTTTTCTACACTAATAATGTATACACTATCAGCATTGGAATAATAACAGTTATACAAAATTTAAATTTGAACTCTAACATTTATATATGTGTAATGAATTCAATGGTAATAATGTATACATTATTAATGTATATAAAATTTACTCTTTTTTTTTTTAAGATTTCTACCATGGGAAAGTGTTCATTGTTTGGGCGGCTGTAATAAATTTTAACATAAAATACCTATCCTAACGACCACCCCGGTAGGAGTGCGTTTGTGTCGAGTCGAGCTCGAGTAATGCAGTAAAATAATTAAGTTTGAGCTCGAGCTTGTCGAGCTTTTAGAATTCAAGTTCGAGCTCGAACTCGACGTTAATTTACGTTATTCGAGCTCGAACTCGAGTTCGAGTTTAATTAAATATAATCAATTCAAATCAAGTTTAATCGAGGCTATTCGACCTTAATCAAGTCTAATCAAGCTCATATAATAAAAATTAATATTTTACATATAATTTTAAATAAAAGATATTATTGACATTTCATAATAATAAAAATTAAAATATATATTAGAAAAAAGTTCGATTAGGCTCGTCGAACCTTCGAGTGTAAAATATTGAAACTCGAACTTGATTCGCTGCTTCTATCAAGCAGCTCGAGCTCAAGATCAAGCTCGATCAAACCGAGCTTGAGCCGAGCTACTGACCGAGTAGCTTGCGAGCTCGAGTCAAGCTACTTGGTCCAGCATCAGCGCTAAGCTACTCGGTCTAGCATCAGCCCTACACCCAGGGCTCTTGCAAATAATACCCATGTGTCAGGCTGCAAATTGTAGGGACTTAAGCATAATAAAGGCTCAGTCTGAGCATTAGGCTGTTAATTCAATAGATTAGTAAAAACGATGCTGTTTTGGGCTTACTGAAACACTAGTAAACGTTGTCGTTTCATTTAATGAGTCCATTAGTTAGGTAATTCGGTTGTTAACCATCTGACACAAGTTGTTAGTATTGGTTATATAAGCGGGCCCACATGATTGAAGAATAAGAGAAATATACGTTCATTGGTTCCATTCCCTCTCTTCTGAATCTTCTTTCTTTCTTTTCTCTCTATCTGCAATCCCCTGCTTCTTCCCCAATTCTTCTAAACTCTACCAGTTCATCCAAGTTCAATAAACAAAATTCCAGAAACAACCTTGAGTTCGTGACAAAGTGGTATCAAAGCAATAGATCATTGGAATTTACAACACAATCATGGTTGAAAGCACAAGATTCCGCACCATTGAAGAGCAAGTCAGGAAACAAGAAATCAAGCTACAAGAATTGGTAGAATCCCTACATACTTCCAAATCTGAACACCAGCAAATCAAGAAAGACTTGAAGATGAAGCTTGAAGAAAACAACAGGCGGATGGAAGGCCTGTTGTCAGGAATGGAGCAGAACTTCACTCAAATGCTTGAGCAGAAATTCAGTGATCTGCTACTAAAGATGAATTCTGGCAAGGAGCAAGCAACCGAGGAGAGTGGCAGAATGATCGACCAGCCGCCAATTCTACTAACTCCACCAGCTCATCAGAGGTTAACCATAGACTGTGAGGCTCAAAGATCCTTCAGGAAGGATTGGAGTAAGTTTCAAATTTCAAATCCTCCTAAGATTGATTTACAGATGTTTGCTGGAGAAAATCCTAGGGAATGGTTACGTAAATGCAATAAATATTTTTTGAACTATCAAGTTCCAGAAGAATATAAAGTGGATGTAATTGAAATGTATTTGGAAGGCAAGGCTGATAAATGGTTCCAAGGAGTAAAAATTGAGAAACCTAAGCTAAGTTGGGAAAAATTTGGGGATCTGCTATGTCGCAGGTTTAATGATAGCACTTGTCGAGATATAGTGGAAGAATTTAATAAGCTACAGCAGATAGGTAATGTTGAAGAATATCAGGAGAAATTTGAGGAGTTAAAGGCATTGATGATAATGAAAAATCGAAATCTGGATGAGACCTATTTCATTTCTAGTTTCATAAGTGGACTGAAGGAAGAGATCAAACCTATGATCAAGATGTTGAAACCTGCTACCCTGGCTGAAGCATTTGAACTGTCTCAGTGGCAAGAGTATTCATTGAAATTGCAGAATAAGAGTTCTAAAGAGAATGTCAAGCCACTAGGAGAAAACAGGCTTGGATTGTCAAGAAACACTACTACAGCATTGGGGGTTAACTCATATAGGATTCCACTCCACAGCAATCCCAAACATCCTAAATTGGCCAATTGGCAAAAAGGCACTAAGGATCCTAGGAGGCTCTCTGCATAGGAAATGCAGTATAGGAGGAACAATGGACTGTGTTTCAAATGTGGAGAGTAATATGGAGTTGGCCATCAGTGCAAGGTTGGCCATACGAACTGCATGATGTTAGAAGAGGAGGAGGAAATTGCATTTGAAGATGCTCTGGGATAACAGGATGAACATACTGGGAATCCTGGTCAAACCATGAAAATGCCCTTGCATGCATTATCTGAGGTCTTAAAGAGGAAGACAATCACACTCACATAAGTCTTAGATGGAGAAGAGGTGCTCATCTTAGTAGATACTGGAAGTTCTGACAGCTATATCAGCAGTGAACTGGTTATTGGGATGGATGTCAAGTACCAGTGGGTGGATCAGCCTTTCTCTATCATCATGGGAAATGGGACTTCTGTTACCAGCAATGCTGTCTGTCCTAGTGTATAGTGGAGCATTAACCAACACAATTTCAAATTCAACCTCAAAGTGATGGAACTAGAAGGGTGGGATATAATACTAGGAGTGGACTGGATGACACACTTCAGTCTCATCACATTTGACTTTCAACAGCTCAGGATATCATTGCATCATGAAGGAGGGAAAATTCACCTACACGGGCAAGCAGACAATTGTGACATGGATCTGATCAGGGGCAAGGACTTGAGGACATTCATTGAATACAAAAAGCAGATGTGCATGGCCATGACTTCTCAACAGCAGGAGGGAAGCAAACTGGAGTCCACCCCACAGGAAGTACATGAGCTACTGCAGGAGTATGAAGATATATTCCAGACTCCCAGTTCATTACCCCCTAGCAGAAGTGTAGACCATGAGATACCCCTTAAACCAGACGCTCAACCATTCAAACTCAAACCTTACAGGTATCCTCACTGCCACAAACAGGAAATAGAGAGGCAGGTGATTGAAATGCTGCAAAAAGGCATTGTAAAACACAGTAACAGTCCCTTTGCCTCTCCTGTGTTACTGGTCAAGAAGAAAGAAGGAATTTGAAGGTTCTGTGTGGACTATAGGAAGCTGAATGAACTCACTATCAAGGACAGATTTTCAATACCCAATGTAGATGAATTGCTGGATGAATTGGCAGGAGCTGTGTTCAAAACCAAGCTAGATTTGACTGCAGGTTACCATCAGATCAAAGTCAAACCTCAGGACACCTACAAGACAACTTTCCAGACGCATTGTGGACATTTTGAGTTCTTGGTTATGCTACTTGGCCTCACAAATGCCCCTGCAACCTTCCAATCATTGATGAACCAAGTATTCCAGCCTTATCTGAGAAAGTTTATCCTAATCTTCTTTGATGACATACTTATATATAGCCCCACACTAGAGGATCACCTCCAACACTTGAGAATTGTTCTGAATCTATTGAAGGATAACCAACTGTATGTGAAGAAATCCAAATGTGAATTTGCTTAGAAAAGAATAGATTACTTGAGACATACCATCACTGACAAGGGAGTTCAAATGGATGACTCCAAGGTCAGTAGCATCTTACAATGGCCTGTACCACAGACTGTTAAGGAGTTGAGGGGGTTCTTGGGTCTAACTGGCTACTACAGAAGGTTTGTAAAGCATTATGGATTGGTGTGCAAGCCCTTGACTGAACTACTCAGAAAAGACAGCTTCAAATGGAATTCATAGGCACAGGCAGCCTTTGAACACTTGAAAAGGTTGATGTGTTCTGCCCCAGTCCTTAGTTTACCAGATTTTAAAAAGGCATTTGTGGTTGAAACAGATGCCAGTGGGGTAAGTATTGGGGCAGTCTTGATGCAGGAAGGGCACCCCATTGCTTTTTGAGCAGAGCATTGTCAACCAAGAACTTGGGACTATCAGTTTATGAAAAGGAACTTTTTGCACTAGTAATGGCAGTCACGAAATGGAGGCATTATTTGGTTGGGAGTCACTTCATTATCAGAACAGATCACCAATCATTGAAGTATTTACTGGATCAAAAACTGAATACTGCTCTCCAGCATAAGTGGATGACAAAACTAATGGGCCTGGACTATGAGATACAGTACAAAAAAAGGACTGAAAATCAAGTTGCAGATGCCTTATCTAGAAGACATGAAGCTGTTGCAGAATCTTCCCTCCACTCATACTTGGCTATTACTGCAGTAAAACCTGTCTGGATGGAAGAATTGCAGAAAAGCTATAAAAGGGATGGTCGCTGCCAAGACATTATGGCTCAGCTAATACTGGATCCCAATACTTACACTGATTATACTATGGTGGATGGAATGTTGAGGTATCAAGGAAAATTGTATGTGGGAGTGCCAAAAACATCAGAAACCAGATTATCCAAGTGCTTCATGCTTCAGCAATAGGGGGACATTCTGGATAGAAAAGCTGCTGGCAGAAGGTTAAATCATTGTTTTACTGGCCAGGAATGAAACAGGAGGTAATAACTTTCA